GAGAGAGAGAGAGAGAGAGAGAGAGAGAGAGAGAGAGAGAGAGAGAGAGGTGAAAAGGGCTGAGAAGTAAAATATGCTAAAGAGAGAGAGAGAGAAAAACTCCAAAGGGACACTTTTAAAAGTCAGGCTTTGACTAGGGAAGTTCTCATAGGCCATTTGCATTGGACCAGGAAACAAAGTTGTAAAGTACAATTTAGATGTGAAGGTGTGAAGACCTGTATGCCATCTTGGAACTTGTTTGGTATGTGACCAGTTTGCTAAACCCTTTAAATCCCAAAATACATATTATCCAGAACCTTCTGTTTTTCAATCATCATTCCCTAAAATCATGACTAAAGAATAACAAACGTTTTTAGCAAAACAACAACCAATGGTTTCTTCACTCTCCCTCACGTCCTTTTCTAGAGTGATGTGTTATCACTTCCTGGTGACCTAATGAAATTCTTTTCTTGGGTCACTCACTATAAATCTTATCCCAGGCCATTGTAACCCTGAGTTAGTTGAAAGATATTTATTTTTTGAGGGTTGAAGGATCTCATGCTTAACACTAAAGTATATAAAGATCCCAAGAAATAGAAAGTATTAACTACTCTCAGACCCTGGAAACTGGTCCCCAGGGAGGTATTGTATAATCAATTTCTCAAAATTGATTGAATAAACATGTTCTTCCACCTGCCCAGAATGCTTGGCAGCCTCGGTCTTGTCATTTATAAAAAGAAGGGATTAGACACAATGCCCTTGAAGCAGAGTGTGAGTGAAATACCTGGGGACCTTGTAGAAACACAGATCTGGGTTCCGAGCGTGTACAGAGGCAGAGTCTGCATGTTAAGGAGCTTGTGGGTGCGGTAATGATGCTGAAGCCACTGCACTGAGGACTGTTTTCTAAAGCTCTCCTGCTGTCCTCTGTCCTTGTACTCAGACTCAGATGAAGTGAAGGAACCAAAACCTCATGTTCAGCTAAATTCCATCTCCTTTCTGGGCCACTCTCTGGGCCCTGGATCTCAGTCAGACGTTTTCTCCAATTGTCAGCCACAGAAAGCACTTCCTGGCTATAAGTGACTCCAGGTAAAACCGATCAGTTTTGTACAAACACATGCAGGAGCAGTCCTCATTGGGTAAGACAGACTCAAGGGCCGGAAGTAAAGGATGGGAGAAGCCTGTGGCACCATTGTCTATTCTTACCCTGCCTTACCCTCACTCCACACTGTAACTCCATGTCAGGGACATCTGTCTTCTCTGTTACTGTAATGTCTTCGTTACTGTATGCTGGAACATAGGGGAGTGGATAGCACACAGTGGGTGTCTAGTAAGTGCTGAATAAACGACTGGCCGCACCCAGTACGTGACTGCTTGCAACTGAGTGGCAGGTTTTCCTGACCATGAAGAAGCCAGAAAGAAACAAGGTGGAATTCCATGGCACAGGTAATGCAATCAATGCTTCGTGGTTTCATTGAACTGTCCATTGTCACAGCACCTTCAGATATGGAAGGTCACCAGTTAGCTCACCCTCCACAGAGACAGCGATAACCATTGATGAAGACCATTGTGAATCTGGCAAGGCTAAGCTTCGGTGTGTGTCTCTCCTGACCTTGAGTGAGATCATTTCAGCTTATTTCCCTTTATCTTCTAAAGGCAATTCTCTAAAACAATCCCCACCTTAGAATATTGCAGAAGATGGGCCCGAAAAATTGTACGAGCCAGAGGCTCAGACCATCTGCTGCTAGATAGTAGCCCCTAGACCTGACGTGGAAAATGAATTCATGAACTCTCAACAATAGAATCACCAGAGCAAGACCAACATAATGGCAGCACAAGTCAATGTGTCACTATAGACAAGGGGAATTCTGTATCATCCCTAGATGAAGAGCTACAGGTGGTCAATGGCCACTAAAAGAAGTTTCCTCCATGGATGAGCCCCCCCCCCCTTAGGCTGCCTAATCCAAAGTGGTCAGCTTGAGACAGGGCAAACAACCAAAGCTAAATCTACTCAGTAGGTCAAATACACACCATATATATTGTTAACATGTAACAATAATAATGAAAGAAAATATACATATTGCTAACATGTAGCAATAATAACT